TTAATTGTATAAGCATTTTGTTGCAATAAAAATTGTATTTGTAAAATGAGAAGAACTGATAACTTTTGATTTTATGGTGCAAATGATTAGACCAAAATTGCTCCACTTGGAATACAGCATTTTTTGTTTTTTGTTTTTACTATTTTGTTTTTTTAAGGCTATGTACAACTGTTTCAGAGTGTATTACTCCTCAAAACATGTTAATTATTCACTTTGATTTTACTGGGTTATCCTGGGTTAATATTCTCCATGTGCTTCATGGCTGAATTCCTGTTAGTATCATGAAATTGTAATAAGCTTGGAATAAGTTACCTTTGTGCAACTCTCACACCCTGTTTGCTGGTAGGCAAGCTAGTGGAACAACAGCTGATTTCAATGTTTACTTTTGCTAGTTATGATATAGTCATCAAATGAGTGGTTAACCATGATACATTGTGTGGACCCTGCTGGCCTTGGAATTTTTTTTTCAAATGAATTATTATTACAATCAAGGGGGAAGCGCTAAACCCGGAGGATTATACAGCGCCTGGGGGGGTATGTGGAAGGCATTCAGGCTTAATTTGGGGAACTGGAGCATAGATCCAATTCCCTAAATCAAGAGCCCCTCACCAACATCAAGGAACCTTCCTTGAGGGGTTTCAAATGAATAAACAGATGGAAGATCCAAAATCGAAATTATTGGCAGATTTGGCATGAAAAGATGTGCATACTAGTACATTGGAGAGGGTTCAAGGGTTAAGCCAATTCCACTGCTCTTTTTTTGACAATCTTAGGTATTTCCCTAATGATTGAGCAAAAGAAACTGCCCATTCAACTATTTCAACCACCCATAAAGTGCACAGAAGTCAGTAATTTGGCCAATTTTATATAAAAAAAGAAGTGAATACCGACTTAAAAATAAAGGATTATAATAAAAAAAAAAGTGCTAAACCACAAGGGTTATACAGCAGAGCAGGGTAGGGAAGAATGTAAGAGAAATGGGTGGCAAGAGGGGGAGGGATAATTATTAGGGTATAGATTGCAGCAGAGCAGTGAATAGGGCAGAGGTAGAGGGTAGCTAGAGATTAAGGTAGAAATGACGGAGGAGAGTCCTAGAGGCATCATCAGAGTTTGTGTAGTAAATCAGTTGCTGTCAAAGTCAATGAGAGAGTCTGGATTAACCCGTAAATGGTCCAAACGTATATGTACGTTCACTACCCCAGTGCCCCGAATATTTTGAAAAATAATTTTTTTTTTTGGACAAAAAGAGCACATTTTTCTAAGTGTTTATCAAGATACGAGGCCCAGAAGTTGGCACTGGATGCTCACTTGACATCAACAGCGAGTCCTGCTGCTTGCAGATGTGTTGCCGATATACCTTTTTTTTCTATTTTTCATATTTTATATAATTTTTATGTAATTTTTATAGTAGTTCTTGTCATTTCATAACCAATCTTTGTTCTGACACTTGTATTAGATACTGAAATTGTACTCAAATTGTTACAAACACACTGACAGGTGGACATTTGCACCTGCCTTGGTCATTTACTATTGTCTTGGAATAAATACGAAGTATTTATAGGTCCCAGCAATGTTTTGGATATTTGGAAGTGAAGAAGAAAATGAAAAAAAGGAGGAGGAGGAAGAGGAATAATAATACGTAATAATAATAAGTTCCCTTGAAGCACGAAAAACAAAGTCCACCCCTGACAGTGGCATGATACGATGAGATAACATTTGATAAGAGCTGACGTTTGATGAGCATTCGCGAGGGTGCAGTGATAAGGCTTGATAAGAAAAGATTAGGGCCTTGCTTTGTTTTTGCTGGTACACAAACGTGTGTGTATTTGTCTGTCAAGCTCCCTGTCGTTGTTTCTCTCCGTCTAGCTCTCTGTCTCAGAGAGAGCCACAAGACTGCATCATCACATTTACTCACTTCTTCAAGCAGAGTATAGCACTGTCTGGATTTTTTGGGTTATCCTAGGTAATTTACACTATGTATACTTGTATTTATGTGTACCTGTGAGAGAGAGAAAGATAGACAGATAGACAAAGATAGAGACTGACAGAGAGAGAGACAGATAGATACAGACAAACGGGGATAGAGCCAGGCCGCCAGCCAGCATTGTTTCTCTTTACTTAGGGAATAGGTTATAAGACATTCTGAAAGGGTGTTGCATAAATATTGCACACATGGGTTATTATCGAGGTTTTTTTTATATTTTCTCAACCACTTGTGGCCACATCCACCTCAAAGCCACTAAACCCAGGGTCAAAATCACTTTCCTCTTAAAATGGTTGTTACTACTACATGACATCAGTGAATCCCAGGTGTTTGCTGCGCTGTTTGCTCTAGCTGGCATTCATTTGAACTGGTGCTTCCACAAGGTACTAAGTAGTCCCAGATCTTTTTAATACCTCGCACACAGTTTTAGGACCCATTCTATGCTGACAAGGCATCTCAGGCCAATCATGCCAAATTTGAAGGCAGGAAAAATAAAACGTATATACAGTATACGTTTGGGGCACTAGCGGCAAAAGCGATATACATTTGGACCATTTATGGGTTAGAGGAAGGTCCATCAGCAAGAAGGGAAGGTAAAGAAAGGGCAATGGAGTGGAGACAACATTGGGGGTAAATTCTGCGTGCTCATTGATAGTGAACAGTGCAACAGAATGTGGCAAACAGATACTGGGACTTGACAGTTCTCACAGAGAGGAACAGGGCACCTCTCCATGAGATACCATGAGTAAGACGAGTGTGGCTGATGTGAAGATGGGAGTAGTAGTAGTCTCCCATCCTCAACATTCATGACAAGAAGACGGCCAGAAACCTACACTCGGTTTAATAGAATGAAGTTTGTTATGGAGCAGATCAGATCAACGCTGTTGCCAACAGGTGCGGAGGTGAGTAGCTATTTCAGCAAAATAGTCTGTGAATGGAACACCTCTATATGAAACTGGGAGGTCATTACTGTTGACAGTGCAGCAGTGTCTGCCTGTTCATTGCCCTGTATGTCAACATGACCAGGGACCCAGCAAAAAACAATACAGTAGGGCCCCGCTTTATGGAGTTTCACTTACGGCGTTCTGCTAATACAGTCATTTCAAATTATGACCAAAACTCTCTATACCGCTCCCCCCATCTGACTTTCTAATATGGTCACCGAGCCCCACCCGGTTTGTTTACATTCTCTGTGAGATCCATAAGCACTAAGTCTCTCCATTATGTCTGGAAACTCCAAAATTTCAAGTGTTTTTAAAAGTTATTTCATATTTTATATATACTCTGACAATTATACTTATGTATACCTGTACCTAAATAAACTCACACAATGTGCTAGCGTGCAGGTACATATTAAAATCATTGTCTCATGTCTTGAGACACCATATTAATAATTATGATGATAATAATAATAATAATCATCACCGAGTCTCATTAAATGTCGTACATTACGTTAATATACATATTTTCGTTAATCCATCTGATATTTTTTCAAAATTATATAATAAACATGATACATAACATATAAAGATGATAAATACACTCCACAGTAAAATAAATAAAAAAAATACAAGATGTGGGAGCCAGACACCTTGTATGAGTGACGCCATATTAGCATTAATAATAATCACCGAATCTCATTAAATGTCATATAGTATTACGTTAATATACATTTTTTTTTTTTTTTTTTTTTTTTTTTTTCAACAAGTCGGCCGTCTCCCACCGAGGCAGGGTGACCCAAAAAAGAAAGAAAATCCCCAAAAAGAAAATACTTTCATCATCATTCAACACTTTCACCACACTCGCACATTATCACTGTTTTTGCAGAGGTGCTCAGAATACAACAGTCTAGAAGCATAAACATATAAAGATACACAACATATCCCTCCAAACTGCCAATATCCCAAACCCCTCCTTTAAAGTGCAGGCATTGTACTTCCCATTTCCAGGACTCAAGTCCGACTATATGAAAATAACCGGTTTCCCTGAATCCCTTCACTAAATATTACCCTGCTCACACTCCAACAGATCGTCAGGTCCCAAGTACCATTCGTCTCCATTCACTCCTATCTAACACGCTCACGCACGCTTTTTTTTTTTAAAAATTATATAATAAACATGACTCACGAAATCGTAATGACACGATTGCAAACAAACCATACCCCGGCCGGGATTGATACATAACATATAAAGATGATAAATACACCTCACAGTAGAATAAAGAAACAAATACGAGATGTGGTAGCCAGACTTGTACGAGTGACAGCAAGAATAACATTTTCTCTAGTTCAATATGGCTTAGTGCTTCTTTTTGATAATAATAATAATAATCTAGTTCAATATCAGAGAAAATGTGTTACTGGGGGTAACTGTAGAAAATTATTCCTTTCGTATGTAAGTTTATTCAGGTACACACAAATAGTTACATAGATTATCATACATAACATGTATGTAAAGTACCTAGGATAACCCAAAAAAGTCAGACAGTGACTTATTTCCATTGCCTTCACTCAGAGCATCATTTCTTCTAAAAATGGCATTACATGAGAAAGAGTGTGTTCTTTATTTATTCTACCGTATCAATGTACAGACAACTTGTACACAATGTAACTTGTACACAATGTAACTTGTACACAATGTAACTTGTACACAAACCAGACGTGTACACTTTGTTTACAAAACTTACGTTCGCCTGGCTTTACATAACTCTGTGCTGTATAGCCCTTGTGGCTTAGCGCTTCTTTTTGATTAATAATAATAATAATAACTCTGTGCCTGTCCTCCCTCATGTACTCATTCTCTCTCTCTCTCACTTACTCATTTTATCTCGTTTACTCAAGACTACAAATATTTTAAGGCAAGTAACGAGTGAACTGTATATGCATTTTATCGCTCTGGGATGCTTAAATGTTATAGAATGTGTGGATGAGTTGGCCTGGTATGGTAGCCCGGCTGGCTACCATATCACACTTGATTTCTTACAATAAATACTTGTCTCACTATAGATTAAGACTACAAATATTTTAAGATAAGTAATGAGTGTACTATACGTGTATTTTACTTTATTGTTTTTTTAATGCCTAGTTCTATTGCTAACTTAATGTATGTTAGTATAAATTTTTTATCTAATATTTATATGCATTTATAAGTGGAAAAAAGGGGTGTTCCACTTTACGGCAGTAGCCTGGAACCTAACCTGCCGTATAAGTGGGGCCCTGCTGTATCTGCGTTTTCTAGAGATATGGCAAAACCAAAGTCAGATACGAAGAACTAGTGGGTGAGGTGTATCAAATTTTCGTATAGCCTGTAAAGCACTAAGGGAGTCTGAAACGACTACAAATGGTGACACAGGCATAGATTCTATACAGGTAAGTGCTACAAGAATGGCATTCAATTCAGCCGTAAAAATACTAGCCGAGGATAATAAATGTCCTCGCATGACACTGTGCGGAAACAATGCTGCGAAGCCAACGCCGTCAGAAGACTTAGAACCATTAGTGTACACTGTGATGGCATGAGAACAAGAGCAGAAGTGGTTGAGAAAAAGAGCGGGAAGCCACCGTAGGTAGTTGGGCTTTTGCACATGGGAGTGGGAAAGAACAGACACAAACAGCTAGAACTTTCCAAGGGGGCAGGGAAAAGTGAGACACTACATGTACATAGAAAGGTGGTAACTGAAGAGGAAACAAGAGCGAATGGAGGTGGAGAGAAAAGGGGTGGAGTAAGCAGGGGCGACGAACAAATAAAGAATGTCTACTAACATCGGTGACCATCCTACATACGGAAGGATTGTGGAGGTTAGGAGTTCGAACAAAACAGCGAAGGCAATGAGCATCACGGCGATCGGACAAGGATGGAATATTCGCTTCTGCATAGAGGCTCTCAACAGGGGATGAATGAAAGGTACCAAGGCACAGATGGAGACCTTGGTGATGAATGGGATCTAACTTAAGAGTTGCTGAAGAGGCCGCAGAATAGATTTGGTCATCATAATCCAGCTCGGACAAGACTAGGGTGGAGGAGTGTGAGGATCTGCTCCCCATGAACAATGTGCAAAAACTTTGAGATTTAGCCAACCATGGCAAGTTGTCTTTAAAGAAGAAATGTGTGGTCTCCACGTCAGCTGGCGATCAAAGAGCAGGCCCAGAAACTTGACTATTAAATGCCGGAATATGTGAACTGTGTAAGTACAAGAGAGTATATCTGGAATAAGAGGACGTCTTGTGAAGGTAATGAACTGGGTTTTTGTACTAGAAAATTTGAAGTTGTGAGAAGTGGTCCAATGGAAGACTCTGTCTATTACAACCTGAAGGGAGGCTGCTACTAGTTGACAGTGCCTGAGTAAGCTATAGCGAAGTCATTAACAAAGTGATGACCAAATATGCGAAGGAAGAGCGCAAGGTAGGTAGTACTGCTGATGACACCCTTATGGAACTCTCAGCTTGTACAAAGTCCGAGAAAAGCAAGGCGCCAATATGGTCCCGAAAATGTCTATTGGACAAGAAAGCAGCAATGAAGTTTGGTAGATTACCGCAGAGGCCTAAAGAGTGGGCTTGGGCTAGGATGTTAAACCTCCATGTGGCATCATATGTCTTCTCTAGATCAAAAAAGACCGCTAGGACGGAGTGGTTGTTAGCAAAGGCATTTTGAATATATGTATCTAAGTGAAGCAAGAGGTCTACAGTAGAGCGGCCTTTGCAAAAACCATATTGGTGAGGGAAAAGGCTATTCTGTGTCTCTAAGAACCACATCATATGTCTATTCACAAATCATTCCATCACCTTGCAGACCACACTGGTCATGGCAATGGGATGATAGTGAGAGGTGTCAAGTCCTGAGGCACTCTGTTTGCAAACGGTAGTACAATAGCAGATTTCCAGTGTTGAGGGAGAACCCCCTTGCTTCCAAATTAGATTGAAAAGACGTAAAAGAATGGGAAGAGCCATAGAATGGAGATGTTGAAGCATACCGACGTGGATATCATCAGGTCCCAGTGCCGATGGCTGGCAAATGAAAAACGTGGACTCCAGTTCTAGAAGAGTAAAAGGTACGTTATATGGCTCCAATCCACCAGAAGAGAAATCTAAGGGCAACTGCTCTCTGAGGAACAGAGGTGAAGCCCTCGGGAGATATGGATAAGATAGTTCCCGATTGCTGTGGCAACTTCTAAGGGCTCCGTGACATCAACTCCAGCAACTCGCAAAACGGGAGCAGGGTCCGGAGTGTACCTGCCACAATTTCCACACCTTTTTCCAAATCACGCACATAGGGGAAGAAGAGTTAATGGTAGACATGTAGTCTCGCCAACAAGTGCATTTAGCATCGTGGATAATGCGGTGAGCAACTGTCCTTGCTCGCTTGAAATCCAACAGACACTCCGCAGTATGATTATATTAATAATGGCCCTGTGCAGAACATTTTAAACGCACTGAATGGGAGCATATAAGAGACCAACAAGGCATGCATGCCTGAGAATGCCTACCTTAAGTTTGGGGGGAAAGAATGTGTCACTGCAGTTAGGACTAAGGTTGAAAAGTGGTGTGCCAGTTCATCAACAGAGGACGAAAGGGGGTCCTCAACAGGTGGTAAGATGGGAGTACAAGTCCCAATCTGCTCGAGCAAATTGCCAACGAAGGCTATGAAACGGTCGGGCATACATAGAAGAAGAAAGAAGAATGGGAGAGTGATAACTATCGTGTAAATCTGGAAGAACAGACCACGCAAAATCAAGTGCAATGGGCAAAGAACACACAGAAAGATCAATGCAGGAGAGACTGAGAGCAAGAGTCAGAATGGGTAGGAGCACCCATGTTTAAAACATGAGGGCGAGAAGAGTCTCCAACTGATCACCATGAGTCGCAGTGGGACCCTCCCTACAGGTGATGGGCGGCGGTAGAGATGAAATAAAAAACGTGATATCAGAGATACAGAATGCACGGGAGGGACAAAGATAGAGTAAACTGTAAACCATCGGTGTAAATGAACATGAGCTGCAGTATAATGCATCAGGGAGCGAACAAAAACTTGTTGATACAGTATATCAACGCATACAAGAAGTACGCTTTCATTAAGTGATTTGTCAGGTAAAGGATCGGAAGAATGTAACAAGTCCTGCAGTGTAACAGGAGAGGAAGGAGGTAAAACTATGGAAGATGGGAAGAGGGAACTACACTAAGGGGGGGGGGGGGACCTCTACCTTCATGTGAGGGGTGGAAAGGGGAGGGGGGTGAGAAAGTCTCCAAGGTAGAAGACAGATTCTGTACAGGTGATGGGTGCAAAGAAAGTGTAGGTCTGCAAGGCCTATTAGACCGAGAAGCGAGCAAGATGAAGTAGAAGTAGAAAGTGGTGTGGAAGCAGGAGTGTCAGAGGATAAAACTGCAAAAACATTAGAAACTGGGGTGACCCTGGAAGGCATGGAAGCAGAGGGATTGGGAGACAGGAGGACTGTCGAGGTTGGAGGTCTGTGGGCTACCTGAGCATGCAGGACACGACAAAATTCCTTGAAGGCGGAGCTAAGAGACTGCCATAGTGTAAGTAAGGCCCTTGCGCTCTTTAAGGTGACTGATCTCTCATTCATTACGATAGACCTGGCAACGGCAGGGAAAAGGAAGGACGAGGTACCTTGCAATTGAGACGAGGGGCGAGACTACAAGATGTACTGGAATGATCTGGTGCACCACAGATCGGGCATTTTGCCGCAGATCTGCAATGTTTAGTGGGGTGCCCAAAATGCCAGCAATTTCAACACTGTAAAGTAAAAGGACAAGTGCAAATAATGTGACATTTTATTGTGGAAACGTTTCGCTCTCCAGGAGCGAAACGTTGCCACAATAAAATGTCACATTAGTTGCACTTGTGTCCTTTTACTTTACTTATTGTCGGTAATTCTACCAACATTATTGCAATTTCAACACTGTTTGGGAATGGGAACTACTTGACGGACCTCTAAACAATGGCCCACAATGTAGACAGAGGACTGCAGTTCCTGGCAGTCGAAGGGTAAACAAGCAATGTTACTAGGAAAGTGCCTCCACTCATGAGCAGGCAGGATGTATCTACCTTAAGAACAGGGAGGTTTTGAAGGACTAATTGTTCTAAAATATCATTGCGTCAAGACAAAAAAAGTCACTCTGTACAATGGTACGCAGTAAGACCACGGTACCACTGCAAGAATTAAGAGTAGCATGTTTACGAATGGTGACTGGTACGTTATCAATGGATGTGATGCGGGAGAGAGCATGAGCTTGCTCTGAATTCTGCACAGTTACGACATGCGTACAGCTTCGAAGAGTGTGGAAAGATATATTTTGGCCAACGTGCCTTAACCCTTTCAGGGTCCAAGGCCCAAATCTGGAGTCACGCACCAGTGTCCAAGAATTTAAAAAAAAAAAAAATTGTTATTTTTTCTTATGAAATCGTAGAGAATCTTTTTGTGAAGGTAATAAAACAAAAAGTACGAAATTTGGTGGAAAATTGACGAAATTATGCTCTCGCGAATTTTGATGTGTCAGCGATATTTACGAATCGGAGATTTTGCCGAATTTGACTCCCATTTTAGGCCAATTACATTATTCCAATCAACCAAATTCTTAGCTATTTCACTAGTATTACTTCTATTCTATCGATTGAGCACAAGAAATCACCAAGTCAACTGTTTCAACTACAAAATAAAGTGATCGGAAATTGTTAATTTGGCCAATTTAACACAAAGTTCAAAATATTCCAATTTCAAAATAGGGTCCAGAATGAACAATGTAGGCATTCCTGGCACTAAACTAACATTTCCTCTGTTCATTAGTTATGTTTTGAGGCTTTACAAATAAATTCCATTTTGATTTTTATTCACATAATGAATTTTTATTCACACCAAAAAATAGAAGATTTACTGTTATGCAATACTGTAATAATTGTATAAATATCATCACCATATTTGTGAATGTATATTAGACCCACCAGCTGGTGTGTATTAGACGTGTGAGGTCGTTTGTTTACTCTTGAATATCGGCAAAAATTTAACATTTCCGCTACTTTGAGCTCAGTTTCAAGCCATTTCCAATGCTAAAACCAATCAAGATCATCTCTATTTCTGTAATATGTCTTCCATTCTATCAAATGAGACCAAGAAATCGCAAATACAACTATAAAAAACATACGAAAAAACACTGCAAAGTTGCTGTTTTAATCGAAAAATCATGATTTCATTTTTTTTCTCTCATTATACACAGTGTGCTGCAGGATCTGTTTTATGTGGTGCACACATACCACATAGATGTATTCTCTCATATCTAGGCCCAAATGTACCACTCACAGTTTATCAGAGTGAGCTGAGCTCATGGCGTAGATCTACGGTTTGGACCCTGAACGTAAAGCCGTAGATCTACGGGACGGACCCTGAAAGGGTTAAAAGAGTTTTACCAATTCCATGATCAGACAGATAATCCATTTGAGACGTTGGTTGTAAAGAAAAGAATTTTGTCCATTGCACACTCGTTAGCCCGGTACGCAAAGGTAGCGAGTGTTGTGTAGGTCGTTTTTGAGCGATCATCGATGAACCGTCATCAGAAGGTTGTCGTGGACATTTAGGAGTAGTACTGCGGGTGGTCTGACTCGAGGGAGGCGGGCGATCCGAAAAGTGTCGCACCGTATTTGGGAAAGCTGGATGCATTGTGAAAGGTGTGCTAGAAGTAGTGGCATGGACAAATGGGTGACACCGTAGCACCTGAAGCAGGTGACGAAGTGTCACCGGCAGAAGGTACAGGGGTACGAGAAGAGTCGAGAGAATGGACTGATAATGAAGCTGGGCGAGAACAGGGTGTGGGATCAGAAAGAAGTCTGGGAGGAGGAAGGGTTTCATTAGGTGAAAACTCCATTATAAAGGTGCTTCTTCCATATCTCCTTTCTTGTTATTTTTAGAAAAAAGGAAAAAAAAAAAGAGGGACAGCGGAGGGACAGTCGCTACGAGGCATAGAAAGGCTGGTAGTTCACCCCCTCATCTGAGGGGGCCTCAAGCCCACGGGCAGTGAAGATGCAACATGGAACCTGTGCCATACCCTACCCTTCACACCAGTAAACCAATGCTCTAGGATAGCAGCCTCACATCTACCGAGCTACCCCAGCAGACAAAAGAAAGGGTAGTCGGAAACCCGCCACAAAGCATACCCCCTTCGGCCGCCACCTCCCAGAACTGACAGGCAGCTTCCGGAGATACAACCCAGGGCAACATGGGTTTAGAACAGGTCGCTCCTGTCTGTCTCAACTACTGGATCACTACGACAAGGTCCTAAATGCACTAGAAGACAAAAAGAATGCAGATGTAATATATACAGACTTTGCAAAAGCCTTCGACAAGTGTGACCATGGCGTAATAGCGCACAAAATGCGCGCTAAAGGAATAACAGGAAAAGTCGGTCGATGGATCTATAATTTCCTCACTAACAGAACACAGAGAGTAGTCGTCAACAGAGTAAAGTCCGAGGCAGCTACGGTGAAAAGCTCTGTTCCACAAGGCACAGTACTAGCTCCCATCTTGTTCCTCATCCTCATATCCGACATAGACAAGGATGTCAGCCACAGCACCGTGTCTTCCTTTGCAGATGACACCCGAATCTGCATGACAGTGTCTTCCATTGCAGACACTGCAAGGCTCCAGGCGGACATCAACCAAATCTTTCAGTGGGCTGCAGAAAACAATATGAAGTTCAACGATGAGAAATTTCAATTACTCAGATATGGTAAACATGAGGAAATTAAATCTTCATCAGAGTACAAAACAAATTCTGGCCACAAAATAGAGCGAAACACCAACGTCAAAGACCTGGGAGTGATTATGTCGGAGGATCTCACCTTCAAGGACCATAACATTGTATCAATCGCATCTGCTAGAAAAATGACAGGATGGATAATGAGAACCTTCAAAACTAGGGAGGCCAAGCCCATGATGACACTCTTCAGGTCACTTGTTCTATCTAGGCTGGAATATTGCTGCACTCTAACAGCACCTTTCAAGGCAGGTGAAATTGCCGACCTAGAAAATGTACAGAGAACTTTCACGGCGCGCATAACGGAGATAAAACACCTCAATTACTGGGAGCGCTTGAGGTTTCTAAACCTGTATTCCCTGGAACGCAGGAGGGAGAGATACATGATTATATACACCTGGAAAATCCTAGAGGGACTAGTACCGAACTTGCACACGAAAATCACTCACTACGAAAGCAAAAGACTTGGCAGACGATGCACCATCCCCCCAATGAAAAGCAGGGGTGTCACTAGCACGTTAAGAGACCATACAATAAGTGTCAGGGGCCCGAGACTGTTCAACTGCCTCCCAGCACACATAAGGGGGATTACCAACAGACCCCTGGCAGTCTTCAAGCTGGCACTGGACAAGCACCTAAAGTCAGTTCCTGATCAGCCGGGCTGTGGCTCGTACGTTGGTTTGCGTGCAGCCAGCAGCAACAGCCTGGTTGATCAGGCGCTGATCCACCAGGAGGCCTGGTCACAGACCGGGCCGCGGGGGCATTGACCCCCGAAACTCTCTCCAGGTAAACTCCAGGTAAACACCCATTACCCGAAGGGCACCCCGCCCTCTTCCTGGAAATCTGGGAAGGAAGCAGGGCACCCTCCGATAATTTAGATTCCACAGCAAACCGCACCACCCCTGAGGGACCTCACAGAGTGGGATGAACCCCGGCACACCAGCCCCTACCTAGAAACTGTAATGCCAGAGGGGAGGACCCCAGTGGCTACAAACAGGATGGGAAACAAGAGGAGGGTGGGGAGGAAAGGGGAAAAAAGGGGGGTATGGAGAGGGTGGGGTAGGGAAAGAGAAATAATTAGGTTCAGTCTGAGGAAGGAGACCAAAAGGCCTAATTCCTCAGACCAAGGGCCTCTTCACCATACCAGGGAGCCCCTTTCCCTTGAAGAAAACTTAAAAACAGAGTCCAAAATTAACAATGTAGACATTCCTGGCAATAAAACATTTCCTCTCTTCATTAGTCACGTCTCCCGGCCTCTCCTATACAGTGGACCCCCGCTTAACGATCACCTCCCAATACGACCAATTATGTAAGTGCGTTTGTACGTGTATGTTTGGGGGTCTGAAATGGACTCGTCTACTTCACAATATTCCTTATGGGAACAAATCCGGTCAGTACTGGCACCTGAACATACTTCTGGAATGAAAAAATATCGGTAACCAGGGATCCACTATTACCATTTCCCATCATTTTGAATTCTTAATAACACAAAAATAGAAGATTTAGTCTTTCTCAAATAAAATATAACTAGGAATGATTGGTCATAGTTTATGGCATCCCAATAATTGAATCAGACCTATTAAAGACCTATAAAACAGACTGTCCTCAGGAATAGTGGCAAAAAAACAAACATTTCCCGACTATGAGCTCAGTTTCAAGCTCCTCTCGTTACTGAAACCAATTAAAATCATCTCTATTTCAATAGTAAGTCTTCCTTTATATCAAATGATACCCAGAAACAGCCAATAATGCTATAAAAAACACCTGAGAAAACATCTCAAACTGGCCATTGAAAGGGTTAAAGTGGACACTGGGAACATATTAATTTTGGAGGTCTGGACAATGAAAGGATAATGGGTAAGGAACCTGAACGTACAGCAGACCTTCACATTTGAGAACATATTAGATTTTTGGGATTTGAAATATTGAGTGTGAGCATGGTAACAAATGAATTCGGAGAAATCTGTTAACTGGACCCAAGTCCTGGAGGTTGGAAGTACATTGCCTGTACTCTGAAGGATAGATGGTGATGTTCCTATTTGGAGAGGAATTTGAATTGTAACTGCACTACTGAATTACAGTAGTGATGAATGTATTCCTTTCAGTCACCCTACACTGGTGGAAAACTGTAGTTTCCTGAAATATTTCACAAAACGTGGAGCTCTAACCCTTGGCAGGCGAGTCTTAAAACTCACAGGCCAGTGTGCTAACAACTGGACCAGTGGTTAACACACTGTTAGTAGGAAAGAGTCCAAGGTGAATGTTAAAGTGTATAGACAGTGGGTAGGACAAGAGTAAGCAGCTGGGTTAGATGGGAACAAGACCAAGCCTCTGGAAAAAAGGTGTTAGCCCTTGTGGCTAAACGCTTCTTTTTTATTATAATAATAATGGAAAAAGGCATGGAACATGCTTGGGAGTAGCTGGTGCATTTAATATATGCATGAAAGAAAAAGTAGAGAAACAAGTTTTCCAATTATACTGGGTAAAGTGTATGGTATAATAACCATGAAAACAGTTGGGCGAACAAAAAATAAAAACAGGAGTGGAAGAAATGTTTTGTTCTAAAGCATTTAAATAAGCAATACTTAGAAAAGGGTAGAGATGTTCGTTGCATTTATAAATTAAGGAAAGGCAAATCTCAGGATGGATAAATTGAATGTTGCATTTATAAAAAGAGGGGAGGAAGGGGAGCCAGTTGGAATGGAGTCTAGAAGGAGTAAATACATTTACACACTCAAGTGGACATATTGGCAGACGAGCGTATGAAAGACAAGGTGAGGAAAAAAAAAAAACCTAGTGTGTTGAGGTATCTGCAGAAAGAAGAGTTTATTAGGACACAAAAAGACTATCAAAGTATAGTGGTATCAACACACTTGTATATAAGGCATGATCTCTGCAGGTTGCAGTATAGAGGATGCTTGATACGGGAGAGATCATGTTTGAGATTAATGAATAGTGTGAATATTATGTAGAGAATAAGAAGCTTAAAAATACTGCATAGTGGAATGAAAAGTATAATTCAGTTTGGAGGGGTTATTGACATGGGGCATTTGGAAAGCATGAAGCAGAATCAGTTGATAGAGTTCATAAACACACACAGGATGGAAGGTGTAAAGCATGTCCCATGAAGGGCTGGAGAGAAAGAGATTTTGACTGGTAGAGGCTTATGCATCCAGCAGGTGTATACACTTGTGTGTACTCACCTAATTGTGGCTGCAGGGGGTTGAGTCACAGCTCCTGGCCCCACCTCTTCACTGGTCACCACTAGCCTCACTGCAAACCTTTGCACTTTCTCTACTTTCCTGACATGCTTGGCCAGATGTGGGTTCCAAACTAGAGCTGTATACTCCAATATGGGCCTGACACACATGGTGTAAAGGGCCAAGAATGACTCCTTACTGAGATGCTGGAATGCTAATCCTAGGTTCACTAGTTGCCCATATGATGCAGCAGTTATTTGGTTGATGTGCACCTCAGAAGATGTGCTCGGTATTATACACACTCCAATATCCTTTATCTTCAGTGAGGTTTGTAGCCTTTGGCCTCCTAGACTGTACTCTCTCTGTGGTCTTCTTTGCCCTTCCCTAATCCTCATGACTTTGCACTTGGTGGGTTTGAACTCCAGAAGCCAGTTGCTGGACCAGGCCTGCAGTCTGTCCAGATTCTTCTAGTCCTGCCTTGTCCTCCTCTGACTGAATTCTCCTCATTAACTTCACGTCACCTGCAAACAGGGACACTTCGGAGTCTATTTCTTCCATCATGTCATTCACATTTACCAGAAACAGCACCGGTCCTAGGACTGACCCCTGTGGAGCCCCGCTCGACACAGGCACCCACTTCAACACCTCGTCATGTACCATGACTCGCTGATGTCTTCCCGTCAGGTATTCTCTGATTCACTGCAGTGGCTTCCCCATTGTACCTGCCTGGTCCTCAGCTTTTGTGTGGAACTTTCAAAAGCCTTCTTACAGTCCAAGAAAATGCAATCTACTCACCCCTCTCATCTTATTGCTGTCACCCTGTCATGGAACTCTAGGTTTGTGACACAGGATTTCCTGTGTATGTGTGTGTGTGTGTGTGTGTGTGTGTGTGTGTGTGTGTACATGCACACATTTGTGGTGTGTTGTGTCATGTACTCACCTAGTTGTGGTTGCAGGGGTCAAGTCATAGCTCCTGGCCCTGCCTCTTCACTGGTCACTATTGGGTACTCTTCCTGCTCCAGGAGCTTTATCATACCTCTTTTTAAAGCTATGTATGGATCCTGCCTCCACTACATCAATTCCCAGACTATTACATTTCCTGACAACTCTGACAGATGTTAGTTACCATTTTGTCCTGTGTGTGTGTGTATATGCACTTTTTCTTTGCTGTGTGTGTGTGTGTGGGGGGGGGGGGGATGCAGGTTGACTGAAGTGAACAGAAACTAATACAGTAGATTTTATTCGAAGTGCTTTCAGAGTATGAGCAAAATTACATTAACAAAGGGCTCCAGGAAAATCAGTGAACCAAACTTGTCTTGGAGGTGGAAATTAGAGTGCTTGCACTCTGAAAGATGAGTGCAGGTACTGCAGTTCAGAGGACCACTGGACTCTGAACTACACACAGTTATGAGAAGATAGTTATTGGAAGTGTGATGGACATTGTCTCCTTCAGTCACCAGACCTTAGTGGGAAACAGCAAGTGTGGTAATAAAAAACCATGTAATTATACACACAGCATATGCATGTGCATTTACACACATATATATATACTACACAATGCATATCCATGTACATGAGCATACACTATATGCAATATGTGATTTTATGAGGAGAACCACATGCTACACATGCAGTATGATAAACTTTACACATTCATATGCATGAGAATTATTATTATAATCAAATAAAGCGCTAAACCGACAAGGGTCATGCAGCGCTGTGGGATATGCATGAGAAAAATATACAAAACTTTCAACACGGTAATTAAGTTATATAACATGTCACTAATTAGTCCACTAATTTCCAAACAGGAATTTTTTATGAAAAATTGCATGTTTAACCAATTTTTATTTATATACAAATTTTATGACCATTACTTTATAGCTTTAGAATGATGCCATTATCAAACTGCTGCAAACAGAGGCACCGCAAACAGAGTTTACTATGAAATACATTACGAGACATTTAGAATTACACAATTCCTCAGGCAGCTAAACAACCCACATGGTCTTAGAATTTTTTTTAAATACAACTATCAGCATTTCTGGTTGTTGAGATGGCCTTTGAAGCCTCAGCAACTCGTGTACAGGGCAAAGAGAAACCAACATTTACACATGTTACCCTTGTACTATAAAATTCTTTTGGATACTATTCACAAGAGTAGCAGTACCTATACCACTAAGGCCCCACATCACAAAAAACATTCTACATTCAGTGCATACAAGCAAGAGCTCTCTATAGTATCTGACAACCTGTAGCCTCAGCAACACATTCATGTATCACAGGCTAGAAAAATTCAGATGTGTGAAATTGCATATTATTCATACCAAGGAAAAGTATAATCAACTAGATAATCACAGCAATTACTTGCCTAATTTAAAACCCTTTATAACATTAAGACACTATGATAAGTAATTTTACATAATATAAAAACATTAATAAGAATAGTTTTTGTCTTCTCACTTAACTACTTTATCTATGTTATATCTTTCACTGTCGGTATATCCTAGTATACTCTCAATGGCACGCAAGTGGCCCCTTGAGTTATCTTTATCAGTGAGGAAATAATATATGGCTGACTTAAGAAACTGAAGAGTGACTTCCGGGTCCAGTTCCCCATTCTTGGTGATGCTGCTGCCGTTGTTGTTGTTATTTCGGCATGCAACTTCACGGTGGTAAAGGGCCTGGAAAAGAATCGTAGGGCTTCAGTAAACACAAAATACACCCTTTCACTTCACAATAGATCTTAAAACAAACTACCTCCTATGATAATGGATCTTTGCTGAATGTTTACAAAGTTTATTATTATTATTATTATAATCAAGGGGGAAGCGCTAAACCCGGAGGATTATACAGCGCCTGGGGGGGGGATGTGGAAGGCATTCAGGCTTAATTCGGGGAACTGGAGCACAGATCCAATTCCCTAAATCAAGAGCCCCTCACCAACATCAAGGAACCTTCCTTGAGGGGTTACAAAGTTTAAAAAAGACCAATAACTTAAATTTAAACCCAAAACCTAGAACACAAAATGAATGAAATTCTTCAGAATTTCCAAATTATTTTTCTCCTTATTTTCAACTACAGAACATTTGTATAAAAATTATGATTACTGTCAACTTCAAAAAGTTGAATAAAAAAGAAAAAAAAAAGTGCTATCCTGCCTTGCATTCAATTAATTTGCTACACAGTAAGGTTCCTTTTGTGTATGGCATTTCAAGTAGTTACTCAAGATGACAGATTCCATTGCCTTATACTGAACCCAATTCTGTGTTATGGGTGTTTTGTGAAACCATCAGAACAGGGTAGTCACATAATGTGCTGTATAATATTTTTATACAAAACAATGTTCTTCTTAAGAAATCTGTGAACACGTGACTACCGTCAGAAATACAATTACACAGAGGGGAATATGTTTCAAGAACCTGCCGTGGATACCAAAACTGCGGATAGTAGCAAACCACATATATAAGTTTTATACATACTTATTATAAAGTTTAACTGATAAATCATGCACAGTAAGTGGAGACTTATCACTTTTTCACTCGTGGGAAGCACTTCACAGCTTCTCTTAGGCTTTGAGGAAGTGCCAGCTTCTCTACTTTTGTGCCTTGGGGTCATTATGTAAAATGGCTGTATAGCCCTTGTGGTTTAGCACTTCTTTTTGATTATAATAATAATAATAATGCAAAATTAAAAGGTATTTTTGGGCCATAGTAAACCGTGGATACTGAATCAGTGGATATGGGGATTCTACTTTGTTTCCATAGTTGCAGTACATTCTTAAAAAAATGATACAGTAGAGTACTAAAAACAAAAGAGCAAATATATCAAAATGTACAGGTCTATAGAACTGTAAGTGGAAAATCAAGGTGCCATAGGAATGCGCACCAAAGAACATTAAAATTACAGAAAACTGAGAATACCAAGAAGAAAAATGTAGGAAGGTTATAACCCTAGCAATACACAATTATCAAATTAAAGGACTTCAGAAATGCAGAACAAAGTCCACTGGGTCAAGTGACTCAAACAATTAAAGTTCATTGTTTATACAATCACTGCAAAAAACTTTCATCTTTATCCACAACAATCATAAACAGTCACCAGCTCCAACCCCTTAGTCTCACTAAATTAAGACTTCACTGTACACAGTATTGTAATTAAATTTTTATATACGTGTGTAAACCTGCGTGCACACGTGTGTGCACTTGCCTATGTGGTTGAGGGGTTGAGTCAACTCCTGGCTCCATGTACTCACCTATTTGTGGGTGCAGGGCTCGAGTCATAGCTCCTGGCCCTGCCATTTCACTGATCGCTACTAAGTCTTCTCTCTCGCTGCTCTATGAGCTTTATCAAACAGTCTTAAAACTATGTATGGTTCCTGCCTCCACTACGCCATTCTCCAGACTATTCCACTTTCTGACAACTCTATGACTGAAGAAATGCTTCTTAAATCCTCTTGACTCATCCGAGTCTTCAACTTCCAATTGTGACCCCTTGTTTCCGTGTCCCATCTCTGGAACATCCTGTCTGTCCATCTCGTCAATTCCTTGTAGTATTTCATATGTCGTTATCACGTCTCCCCTAACCCTCCTGTCCTCCAGTGTCGTCAAGCCGATTTCCTTTAACCTTTCTTCGTAGGACATTTCCTTTAGCTCCGAATTAGTCTTGTTGGAAACCTTTGCACTTTCTAATTTCTTGACATGTTCGACCAGGTGTAGGTTCCAAACTGGTGCTGAATACTTGAATATGGGCCTGACATACACTATGTACAGTGTCTTTAACGATTCCTTACCAAGATGTCAGAATTCTATTCTAAGGTTTGTTTGCAAGGCGTTCATATGCTGCAGCAGTTATCTGGTTGATGTGAGCCTCAGTAGATGTGCTCGGTATTATACTCGCACCAAGATCCTTTTCTTTTGAGCGAGGTTTGCAGTCTTTGGCCACCTAGCCTATACTCTGTCTGCAGTCTTCTTTGCCCTTCCCCAATCTTCATGACTTTGCATTTGGGGGGGTTAAATTCCAGGAGCCTGTGTCTGGACCAGGGTTGCAGCCTGTCCAGGTCCTTTGGTAGTCCTGCCCAATCCTCATTCAATTTAATTCACCTCATTAACTTCACATCTGCAAACAGGGATACTCCTGAGTCTATCCATTCCATCATGTCATTCACATAAACCAAAAACAGCACTGGTCCTAGGACTGACCCTGTGGAACTCCACTCCTCACAGGTGCCCACTGGCACCTCATGTGTACATGTACACATGCAGATTTGTGTGTACATAAGTACACTGTACATAAGTACACCTATACATACTGCATGCTCATATACATGTATGTGCACATTGTGTGTATAAAACACACAAATCTGGGCATTTTTGTATGGTAACATTACCAAAGGCAATAAAATAAATATCAATGCCAAGGTCAACACAGGAAAATATTATCTATTTCCATTTACTAAGGATAATTTATAATTTCAAATGCTTGAACAATAGTAGACAGGATATCACAAACTACAAAGAAGCCAATATACAGTATACATTAAAAATAACTGAAAATCCCATCTGACAGCTACTATTTATAATGATTTGACTAAATAAAACAGCAATAAGCAAGCAAGCAAGCAAGCAAGCACACAAACCATGCACAGGATACTCACTGTCATTGATGTGGGTGTGGACACTGTACATGCAGAGCATGAACCTTCCATCAAAGAAAATTAGCCCAGCTATTTTTCATCCTATTACATAAGCATGTCTGGTAAAATTTTGCTCTAAATGCTGTGCATCCTCTGGGCCTTCAGATTATTGTATATTTCATATGTACATTAATTTTCAAAGAAATGAATAGGCTACATAAGTACATTCTCATCTAAGAACTACTACTCACTGCCCTATGGATTGTACAATTTTGCGATACTGTATAGAATATATTACAAAACTGGAGGGGGTTGGAAGTTGACTAAACAGGCATCTAAACAAAGTGTTCTATGACAGAAGACTTGTATTGTTTAATCAACTTATCTTTTTATCTCACTACAGAAATTAAAAATTCTCACTACACCAGCATGTGCCTTGCTACTACTTTCTTATTTTATTGCAGTTTAGTGAAGAAGAGCAGTGCAGGACATGTGATGTACAATGGCTTTCAGCATATGCAATATACAGTATATTGTAGATATAACTGGTGAAAATAGTTACACGTCTGATAAAAGAGTAAGTGTACTGGCTGCTTAATGCCAAAGCAAAACCAAAATAATAATAAAAAAAAAACGATGCTTGGATACAATGTATGTGCATGTTTGTGTACAGCTAGACAGGCAGAGTACGCACCTGTCTACGTCCCTGGAAGTACAAGCTGATGGCCTGTTTACCGTCCAGGAGTGCTGCGTTTGGTGCACCAAGAGAAGAGGTGTCTGTGAGTCCTCGGATCACAGGGGAGGACAGTGAGGAAGGCAAGAAGGGTACAGCTCCCTGAAATGAATAGCCGCTAGGTTCGACCATGCAAGACTGCAGGGCTCAACTTTGTGGTGCAGACCCGGACCCACGAGTTTTACCGAAGACAACATTTTACAAATGTCATTTTCTGTAAACTCGCTGCGTTGCTTTAAAGTTAATCCAACATACCGAAAATATAAGCATCAACTCACTACAGTACAGGTATTTTAATCTCAGGTCATCATAAGTCTCACATGAAGCTTATTCCTGGTTAATTAAGCAATCACACATTAACAATAACGACAATTCAACCAACCCAGTTTTCACTTAATACAAGTACATACATTATCACAAAGAAAAAGAAAAAAATCAAATATTTCTGAAGCTTGAAGGACACCATGACAACCTAACAATATTAAGACAATGTATGAAAATAAAGACAGACATAATAAGCAAAACCTTGACACTCGCTTACATGTGATGCCCACAAAAACCTCATTCAAGCACTGTACAGTAACCACTCTTTTTGTAACACTGAAAATATGCTCTTCCATAACTTTTTGTAGTGGATTACACATACTAAGCACAGCCTTTCCTCACTTAACGAATGGAGTTCCGTTCCTAAGATCACGTCAGTAAACGAATTAGTCGCTAAGTGAGGAGCATGCTATAATGGCAGTGGGTTTGTGTCAACCATCTTTGGTGTTTTAATGTCACCTTTGCACCATTTACAACATTTCTGGTATATTTTTAAATGTTCATTCATTAGAATATAGCCTCTCCTCATTTAATGACTGAGATAGGGACCTAAGACCCCATCGGTAAACGAATTCATCGCTAAACGAGGAGCATACTATAATGGTAGTGGATTTGTGTCAACCATCTTTGATATTGTTTTAATGTCACCATTATACCATTTATAACATTTCCGGTATATTTTTAAATGTTTATACAGCAGTCTACTATTTATTATTATCATCACACTGGCCGATTCCCACCAAGGCAGGGTGGCCTGAAAAAGAAAAACTTTCCCCATCATTCACTCCATCACAGTCTTGCCAGAAGGGTGCTTTACACTACAGTTTTTAAACTGCAACGTTAACACCCCTCCTTCAGAGTGCAGGCACTGTACTTCCCATCTCCAGGACTCAAGTCCGGCCTGCCGGTTTCCCTGAACCCCTTCATAAATGTTACTTTGCTCACACTCCAACAGCACATCAAGTATTAAAAACTATTTGTCTCTATTCACTCCTATCAAACACGCTCATGCATGCCTGCTGGAAGTCCAAGCCCCTCACACACAAAACATCCTTTACCCCCTCCCTCCAACCTTTCCTAGGCCGACCCCTACCCCGCCTTCCTTCCACTACAGACTGATACACTCTTGAAGTCACTCTGTTTCGCTCCATTCTCTCTACATGTCCGAACCACCTCAACAACCCTTCCTCAGCCCTCTGGACAACAGTTTTGGTAATCCCGCACCTCCCCCTAACTTCCAAACTACGAATTCTCCATTATATTCACACCACACATTGCCCTCAGACATGACATCTCCACTGCCTCCAGCCTTCCCCTCGCTGCAACATTCATCACCCATGCTTCACACCCATATAAGAGCGTTGGTAAAGCTATACTCTCACACATTCCCCTCTTTGCTTCCAAGGACAAAGTTCTTTGTCTCCACAGACTCCTAAGTGCACCACTCACCATTTTCCCCTCATCAATTCTATGATTCACCTCATCTTTCATAGACCCATCTGCTGACATTTCCACTTCCAAATATCTAAATACATTCACCTCCTCCATACTCTCTCCCTCTAATCTGATATCCAATCTTTCATCACCTAATCTTTTTATCCTCATAATCTTACTCTTTCCTGTATTCACTTTTAATTTTCTTCTTTTGCACACCCTACCAAATTCATCCACCAATCTCTGCAACTTCTCTTCAGAATCTCCCAAGAGCACAGTGTCATCAGCAAAGAGCAACTGTGACAACTCCCACTTTATGTATGATTCTTTATCTTTTAACTCCACACCTCTCGCCAAGACCCTCGCATTTACTTCTCTTACAACCCCATCTATAAATATATTAAACAACCACGGTGACATCACACATCCTTGTCTAAGGCCTACTTTTACTGGGAAATAATTTCCCTCTTTCCTACATACTCTAACTTGAGCCTCACTATCCTCGTGAAAACTCTTCACTGCTTTTAGTAACCTACCTCCTACACCATACACCTGCAACATCTGCCACATTGCCCCCCTATCCACCCTGTCATACGCCTTTTCCAAATCCATAAATGCCACAAAGACCTCTTTAGCCTTATCTAAATACTGTTCACTTATATGTTTCACTGTACTATATATTATAATAAACAGAATTGAGGAAATCAGCTCTAATATACATTATTTAGGTATAAATACTGGTCACAGAGCCCGTCGTAAGTCCAAGGAGTCGGTAAATTAGTACGTTGCTAAGTGAGGAAAGGCTGTACTGTATATTGTAATACACAGTATAGAGGAAATCAGCTCTAATATACATTATTTAGGTATAAATACTGGTCACAGAGCCCGTCGTAAGTCCAAGGCGTTGGTAAGTTAGTACGTTGCTAAGTGAGGAAAGGCTGTACTGTATATTGTAATATACAGTATAAAGGAAATCACCTCTAATATACATTATTTAGGTATAAATACTGGTCAGAATACCCATCGTAAGTCCGAGTTGTCGGTAAACAAGTACGTCGCCGAGAGAGGAGAGGCTGTAATTTAAATCTGAGTACTGTATATATTCTACACAATATTTGCAAATTTGATTATGCACTTCTAATAAACTACAACCCCTTCATTATGTAGACAAGTCAATGGATCAAAACATTTAAGGTTTCTTCCTCACGTTGAATAATTTTTCACGCCACACAATTATGATTTATTCTTTTTGCAATTTATTTTTCATTTTAGATGTTGAAGACTTGGAAACATTTGGATTTACTGCAATTAAAAAGGTAAGTAATAATGTCAGATCTCAGATACTAGGGAAGGATGAAAGGGAGGGAGGCAACATACACCTACCCTCACCCTCACTGTCCTCTACTTTAACTTTTGTATGATCAAATTCACGTTTCATAGTGTTCATAATACTTTAACATTAATATTCTGAGGGATACAGAAATTATGTTGGAAGAAGAAATTCAGGAAGGTGAGTAGTCTGCTTAACCATGAATTATAGTAAGCTCTTTCATAAAGCTCCTCTACAAAGTTTTTTTTTTCTTTTTTCTGTAAACAAGATGAAAATGAATCCGAAATTCAACAATCTTCTTAACTCATTATTTTTTTTTTAAACCTTTCACCTAATACTTTATAGTAAGATAAAAATACTATACAGTTCTTAGCATTGGTCTAAGTATCGCCTGAAATGCTGTGAATTACATGGGCTTGCGATTATTGTACATTTTGAATATACAGTGTTGGAAATAATGTGAATGTGAAAAAGTGCAGATGAGGAGAGTGAACCCTCAGCTCATCATACCTGCATGATGACTCACAAGGTGAGCAAATTACTAAGTACATATGTACATGGTAGGGTAATACTAGGAGAGCATGTATAAATCCCTGGCCTTGCAATTCCAGATATGCCAGGACATACAATAACAAATTACACCCTGATGAAAATTCTGATACACAGTAATATACCTGAGAATCATGTACAAAACAGTGATTAGTTTGGGTGATGACAATTATACTGATAAATGATGATGCGTATAACAATGAAGGTGAAGTTGTAGGTGACCGATGGGAAACTTTATTATGATTATTCTGAAGAATTGCCCAATAATGACAGCAGTGCCAGTCGAGGCAAAACTGACAGCGGTGCAGGTAGAGGCGAAACCAACAGCAGTGCAGGTCGAGGCAAAACCGACAGTGGTGCCGGTCGAGGCAAAACCGACAGCGGTGCTGGTCGAGGCAAAACCGACAGCGGTGCTGGTCGAGGCAAAACCGACAGCGGTGCCGGTCGAGGCAAAACCGACAGAGGTGCCGGTCGAGGCAAAACCGACAGCGGTGCTGGTCGAGGTGACAGCGGTGGGGTGGGGTGGCGGTACAACCGTGGCGGGGTGACGGTACAACCGTGGCGGGGTGACGGTACAACCGTGGCGGGGTGATGGTACAACCGTGGCGGGGTGACGGTACAACCGTGGCGGGGTGACGGTACAACCGTGGCGGGGTGACGGTACAACCGTGGCGGGGTGACGGTACAACCGTGGCGGGGTGACGGTACAACCGTGGCGGGGTGACGGTACAACCATGGCGGGGTGACGGTACAACTGTGGCGGGAGCTAGTACAACTGTGGTGGCAGACTGGCTGGCTGGCTAGCTGTTGTGAGGTTCTGGCTGGCTAAGGTAGGGTGCTAGCTGGCAGGCTGTGGTGAGGTGCTGGCTGGCTGGCAGGGGTAAGGTGCTGGTAGAGCACTGCCAGCTCCAGCTATGCAGGTCCACACATTTGATAAAATATCCACCGAGCCTCCATTTAAAGAAACTCAGAACTTAAAAATTAGCAAATTTTTATACAGATGATATAGAGGAACTACATTACCATTTTAAGTATCAATTAACCCTTTAATGGTGCTCAATGCTGAAATACTATACTGCAAATACAGTGGAACCTTGGCTTACGAAAGCCCCCACCATGTGAATTTTTCAGGATACGAACCATTGTTCGGTCTATTTTTTGCTTCTGGATACGAATGAAATTTCAGGATGCTAACTTCCCCCTCAAGGGAGGTTCCTTAAATAAAATTGTTATTTTTTTTACAAAGGTTACAATATGTGTTTACATATAATATGATTGGAGCAAATAAAGCCACTATCACGCCGAGGCATTTCAGGCAGACTTAATCCAATACTAATAGACTACTTACGTCTAGACAGGTGAAAAAATGTACTAGTAGTGGTTAACAATGTTTTGCCAATGGTGATGCCAATTACTCACAGCCTTTTTAAGTTTTTCACTGTTATTACTATTATATTGCATTATA